CAGTCTCTCTTTGCCTCAGTTTGCTATCTTTACAATGGGGATAATAGCACTTCCCTACTTCACAGGGGTGTTGTGAGGATAAATACATTAAATAGTGATAGGTGCTCACCATATTGTAGTTAATGGGGACATATAAACACCTAAGCTAAATAGGATGACTAGATATCCAATTTTTGTAGAATTTAAGAGCACTATGATTATTTGGTCTGACGTACTGCATGTAGTTCCTGCAGTAGAGGGAATTGCTGTTCCTTTTTATGTAATTGGCACTACTGAGCCCAATAAATTGTGTCTGAACTAGAGCATATTTTTTAGAAAGGCATCCAATTCAATCAGTTTAAAGACAGCAAGTGATGGAGAATGCACCACGTGCCTTGATAATCTGTTCCAAAGGTTAATTACTTTGACTGTTAAAATGTTTCCTGTGATTTCCAATTAGAATTTTCATAACTTCATCTTCCAGCCCTTGGATCTTGTTATGCCTTTGTCTACTAGATTAGTGGATTGAGATTACTGAAAGGAAATCTGCATTCTATAGCAGTAATTAGCTCAGTGAATACTCTCAATATGAGAATATATACTATATACACATCTACCCCAATATAACGCAACCCGATATAACACGGGTTCGCATATAGCGCGGTAACCCCAGGGCTCCGGCAGTGGGGCTCGGGCGGCGATTTAAAGGGCCCAGGGCTCCTGCTGCTGCGGGGAGCCCCGGGCCCTTTAAATCACTGCTGGAGCCCTGCCGCTGCTATCCCGGAGCTGTGGCAGCGGGGCTCGGCCGGCGATTTAAAGGGCCCGGGCTCCCCGCAGCGGCCGGAGCCCAGAGCTCTTTAAATCACCGCTGGAGCCCTGCCGGCGCTACCCCGATATAACAGGGTTTCACCTATAACGCGGTAGGGATTTTTGGCTCCCGAGGACCGCGTTATATCGGGGTAGAGGTGTATTGTATAATTAATATGTAAAGCCATTTTAGAAACCTCTATTTCTAGTCTACATTTCTTATATCATGCTCATCACCATAGTATTTGAGCACTTTCCAGTATTTCATTAAGCAACCTAAAACCTGTCACCTGTTGTTTGTTCTTTCAGCCTCTCCCCAGGGGGAGCAGCATGTGCAGTGGAGCGGGGTTTTTGATACGGTTTAGGAGGGCAGGAGTTAGTATACATATGACTGTATATTTATTTTAGGGAATGCAAGGTCAAAGAAATGTGGCTTGTACTTGGAGTGCAAGGTGGTGAGGTTTGTGCTCAGTTTCTCTATGGCTATGTCAAGTACTGGTGTCTCTAATACTTCCATTTTATTGCTACTCCCCAGCCGGAAGCTCCAGTCTGATGATGTAGAGTAGGATCTGGGGAATGAAGTTCCCATCTGAATACAAGCCTATTTGCCAAGGGTTTGTCTGCTTGGGGAAATTGACCGGCAGAGCTGTAGTGAAATATCCTGCTATAGCTATCCTGGTATAACTCCCATTTGTGGACACACTATTCTGGAATTCTAGAATAAAGTCACTTTTATTCTGGAATAGAGTGTCCGCAGGGGGGTGTTATATTGACACAACTATAGCGGAACAATTAGGGTATGGCTACACTGCAGTTCAACAGCTATCGCTGGCCCATGTCAGCTAACACGGACTTGCAGGGCTCAGGCTGTGGAGCTTTAAAATTGCCGTGTAGATATTCAGATTTGGGCTGGAGTCCCTCCCCCCTTGCGGGGTCCTAAAGCTCGGGTTCCAGCCCGAGCCCAAACATCTCTATTGCAATTGTACAGCCCTGTATCCTAAGCCCCATGAGCCTGAGTCAGCTGACATGGGTCAGCCACGCATGTTTAATTGTCATGTAGGCATACCCTTATTCTGGTATAGCAATGCTGATCAATTTCCCTGTGTAGACAAGCCCTTAGTCTCCTGGCTGTGTAGTCACATGAGAGCTGATTTCTCCCAGGTGAGCATATTTCCTAAGTGAAATACCAGGGTGCTTGCCCTGGGATGGGGTCTGTGAAGGAGAATACTATGCCTTTGAGGGACAGGCTGGAACCTACAGCTGGGGCAGCTTGAGGTAATCCAGGAGCTTTTCCCCACCCTAGGGCTGGGCTACATAAACAGGAAGAGGAAGCAGAGCAAGAGAGAGAGGAGTGGAAGCCATACAGGCTTCAGGAGGGCGGTGGAGTTGTTTCTGCTCAGGCTCTAGGAAATTGACCTAACTAGAGAAACTTGCAGCTCATAAATATGGCAAATGCCAGGCACTGCATGACATAGATGGTCTGATAGTGGGGACTGCTAGTTCCTTGGATCAAGGAGCACTGGACCTAGAGAAGAAGCAGTGCCGGTGGAGAAGCAGAGACACAATGAGATAGTGAACAGCCGGCTCAAGGAAATAAGTCTTCAGATCAGCCATGTCTAGACAGATTTGCAGGCCAAGTTGGAAGAGATACGTTTCTCCAGGGACAGTGTCTTGGCTCAGTCCATAAAACTGGACCAGGAATATGCCCGCCTGAGGGCAAAAGAAGAAAACAGTGAGCAACAGCATTTGTTGTTGGAGAGAGACCTGGAAGAGCTTCATGAGGAAATACTCTGGCAATACGAGATCATTGAGGCATAGATTAAGAAGGAACTATTGCTCTGTACTCACTCCCTGTGATTGTCTCCTCTGTGTCACACTAGAATGTTCCTGTAAGCATCGCCCTTTCGTAAGTGATCAGAGACGGCTAGCATGCAAGGGCACCCTTGCTGACCAAGCTTTCTGGGTACTAACCCCTTCTGAGGATGTGAGGAAGAGTGCTGCTTCACGTCTGCAGCCAGCCTCCCTAAAACCAGCTGATTCTGCTCCAAGAGAGGGGCCTGGTCTGCACAACACATGCTTTGCTGGACTAAGTATATTGGCAGAGTCCTCTAATGAAGGTGCAGCTTATGCCGACAGAAGTTTTTCTGGCAGCATATTTACACCACCTCCCTGAATGACGTTAGCTAGGTTGACAGGAGCCAAGATGTCAGCCAAATTGCGTCTACACTGGGTGAGTTTTCCTGTTGACCGGGGGGCAGTTTTGTTCACACTGCTGATCAATGTAGCTATGCCAACAGCACTTTGTAGTTTAGACCTGGCCAGAGGCATGCTAGAACACCATACACTGCGTCCTGAGTTCACCTGCATGTGCTCTGACCCTGCTGCAGGAGGAATCCACAGACAAGGAGCTCCCCTTAAAAATGGGCTAGTCAAACTGCCTTTCCCACAGACAGGTCCAGGTCAGGGGAACATTGAAACAAGCCAGGCTGCTCAACAACTGCAAGCTCCAGTCAGGGCCGACTCTGGTTTTTTGGCCGCCCCAAGCAAAAAAAAAAAACCTGCGGCACGGCCGGAGTGCAGGTGCAGGGGGACCGGCTGTGGGGGGAGGGAGCGGGCGGGAGAGAGAGAGAGAAGGGGGCAGCCAGGGCTACAGCAGGGGCGCTACCACGTGGCCCCTCCCGCTGCGCCGCCTCCTGCCGCGAGGGCTCCGCTCTGGTCGGCGGGGAGGGAAGGAAGAGGACTGCCCTGCAGGGCGCTCTGGTTCTCCGCGCCGCCGACCCCTACAGGGCGGCCGGAGCGGAACAAGAACAAAAACAAACAAACAAACAAACAACAACAAAAAGCGGCCGTGCCGCCCTAGGATTGGGCGGAATGCCGCCTCCAACAATCTGCCGCCCTAAGCACCAGCTTGCTCAGCTGGTGCCTAGAGCTGGCCCTGGCTCCAGTTCTTGCTTGGGACGGAGTGTATGTGGATTTTTTCTTTAATGGGTTGAAGAGCAGCTCATGCCTTGTACAAAATGTTTCTGGAGGTTTCTTAGGAAGTCAACTGACCTCTCCCAGGTATTTCACCTGCTCGTCTTCCTTTATTGCTAGGGATAGCTCTCTGCATGGAAATAGGATCTTTGTTTCTTAAGGGCTCATCTGCTACAGCTCCTTATTTCTTCACCTGTTTGCAACATCTTAATTGTTTCCACACTAGCTTGCTGTGATGCCACAAACTGGTCTGTGGTGTGGAATAACCAGCAGAGGCAGATGAACCAAGCAGTTTTGCCTGAGGCCTCCTGTGCTCTCTAATCCACTTTAGGCCCGATTTCCAAAGCAGGGTGTGGGAAAATGCTGGGATGTCCATGCAAATAGGGTTCACTCTGCAGGCAGCTTAATGCTGGCTCCTGAGAAAAATCTAGCATTTTACATAAAGGATTTTGACATACCCACCAGTCACGCATTGTTACTTTATGGATTGACATAGAATGCTGCTAGTAAGAATGGGAGGCCTGTAATTTACCCTGGAGCATCTTTCTGCTCGTATACCTGTTGGCAAAATCCATGCAATTCTTTGTTGTGGTTTTTTATATGTGATTGACAATAAAGATTCCTGTGCTGACTTGTCAAAATAAAATAAAAATCCATGCTAGCAGCCAGCCATTCCTGAGTGTGACCCTACAATAACAAACCAGCGTGTGTAGTTGTGCATTGCAAGCCAACACAGGAAGCCCACTTGATTGGGCCATTTACTGTATTTCTTGTCCATCTGCTGGTTGGCCTAGTGCTTCAGGGGTTGGTCTTAGGGGGTTACATGCTCGCCACCAAACTATTTCAAAGCATGAGTAGAGTTTCAGACATGGCAAGGCTAAGACTGGTGAGTAGTGAGGCTTTCAGAGATAAAAGTTAATGATTGTGGCAAAAGAAAGGGGGGGGAGAGAGAATGTGTATGTTCCAGCTGCTTATTCTTTTCAAATGTCCTAAAAGATATAAAAGGTTCTGTAGGGCACCTGCAGATTTGGTTATAGTCAAAGAACTATGTGGAGCTGAAGTTGTTTCTGGGATCTCAATCCTGCTACTGCCATGTGTTGCTTTTTTTAAAATACAGAGATGTATTTGTTTACAAAGGTGAGAAATGGGGCTCTTTCACCTTCCCTTCCCATGCTCTCGGGTGTTAGTTTGAGTCATCATCAGACCCCCACAGAAATAGCTCACTATCCCTTTTCTGCTAGGATCTTGTCTCCTTGGTGTTGGAAGAAGCATTACAGAGGAGTGGGAGCCCTGCAGTTATTGCGGGTCACCAGTGCCCCACCATTGTCCCTCACCCTGTGATCCTGGAGATCGGCTGTGGCTCAGGGGCTATTGCACTGAGTTTACTGAGCAAACTGCCCAAGGTGAGTGAGCTTTTCATCCTTTGTATTATGGTAGAACTGAGTCCCATTGCGCCAGGTGTTGTACTGACACGCAGCAAAAAGATGGTCCCTGCCCCCAAAGAGCTGACAGTCTAGGTATAAGACAAGAGACAACAGGTGATACAGACAGACAAAAGAGCACAAGGAAAGAATGAGGCATTTGTGAGCAATGCAATGAGCAGTAGTCACAGTTCACCAGCTACCCTGATCACTGCCAAGAGCCCATTTTGGTGCCTGTCCCTTCCCCAGTAACATAATCCCTCACTGGTAAAGGAGGAAATAAAGTCACAGGAAGGACTGGGCTCTATAAGTGACTAAAGCCCCCTTCAGTTTCAGATTATCAATCACGTGGGATATATCCCACCCCCAACTCAGACCGCAATGGATAATCCCTGCTCAGTGCTCCAGGAGGGGGAGAATGACCCAAGATCCCTGCCCACATGCCTTGGGGAGAAAAAGGCCTTCCCTTGCTCCAGATCCGGAGATCAGTTCATCCCTCAGACTCATCCAGGCTGATGATGACCCTGGGAGAAGAATCAGTGCTATGCCGTCTATGTATGCTAGGCATGCTTTGCATGCCGACTGACTATGTGTTGTCCAACTGGTAGCCCGTGGGCTGCATCCGGCCTGCAGAATAACTCCGTCCAGCTCCCATGATGGAGGACACCATTTGGTAGAACAAAATGGCGTCCTCCACACAGCATCATCTTGGCCCATCGGTACGTGCAAGGTCACGCTGCATGGAGGACGCTATTTTGGATGCCTAAGGCATGTCAGTGAGTTGTTGCATGCTTTAATAAGACTGTCCTGGCATGCCACTGAGAAGAAGCATCGAGTGTTGGTGTGTAAGGTCTATGGAGGGTCATGCCTGTAGCTCGTGTCCCTTCGCCCAGTGACCTGTTGGGCTGATGTTTAGTTTTCACTAGGCCAAATTATAAATTGCTCTTGTTTTCCTACTCAATCACCACGCTGCTCTCCTTGCCTTTCAGACGTAAACGACTGTGTCAGTCTGTCCTTGTATGTTACGTCAGCCCTTCCCCAAATGGCCAACATGCATGAGCCTTGAGTGAATAGACCAGCTTAAATCTGTGCTGGCTTACGCACCCCACAACCATACTAGTGTCTATGACATGTACATCAAGACAGAATTTGGCCCTAAAGTGCTGCATTAAAATAAAGAACTAACAACTTGTCATGTATGGTTACAGTGAGGATAGAGCTCTCTGCAGAACAGACTGCGAACCGAGGTCACCTGTCCCAGCATACAGTGTGTCTCCTTTTAAAGCTCGAGTGATTCCTTAGGGCATGGATTCTCTCTGCATTAGAGATGAGGAACCCATGAAGCTCTTCCCTCTCTACCCCTCACTCTCTGTTCTGCTGGGCTGCTCTGTCCCAGGTTACCAGTTGATACTGTCAAGCTGTCTGGAGTGGCTCACAAACATGGGTGCTAGCCTCAAGGCAGCCTTACAAATCGGGGCACAAACCCCAAACTGGTTATATGTTGTATAATTAGATTTTGCCAACAGAGTATCAACTGTGAACTCCTAAAGCACTATAACAGCCTTGTTCTGGAGTCACCGACTGTTCCCCTTGGGCACTCTTGCCTCCCAGACAAGCCTGTCATTGTGATAGATGGTCTCTTACACCAAAACTCACAACAATATTCAGGTTACTTCTGGTCCCAGACACTTACCCCAGGTTAATTGTATCTTATATCCCTCCCTAAAGACAGCGCTTGTAGCCAATCCTGTGATAAACTAACTAAAGATTTATTAACTAGGAAAAATAAATGAGTTATTTACAAGATTAAAGCAGGTAAACACACACACACGAGTTACAGTCTTAGGTTTCAAAAGGCAATAGAAGCTGCTGTAATTTGCAAGCTCTAGATGTCCTTTAGGGCTTACCGAAGCTAAACAGCTGGGGATCCCTTGCTTATGCTTGGAAGTGTTGCCTCCTCCCTGAAGTCCAAACAGCATAGGGACACAGACCCTTCTGGTCAGAGATTTTTATTCCCTTCCCCAGAGTTCAAATTGTTATGGGATGAGGGTTTGTATATGTCCCTTCTTCCTGGGTGTGGGGGGAGCAATCAGGAAAGTCTTTTATCTGCTGATGTTCCACAGTGGTTCGTCTGGTGTCTATAGGCCTTCTTTTGTTGGGCAGGAGATCACACCTCTTGTGATAAACTGGTATCTCACACTTGGTATGGCTTCTCTTCTGACAGTGGGGGTTTCCAGTTTCATAGCAAACACTTAACTATTACCATCTCCCAAATAATAGCTATTATAAGTGAGATTAATGCAGGCAGCAACTCATAAGCATTTCATTAAGTCCAAACACTCAATACATTTGTAAAAACTTAACATCTGTTTTAACAATGCTAATACACAGGTGAGCCAGACTGGTTTCCAGCTCTGCATTTGTCAATGTTCAGTGTGGCCTAGGGGTCTTGGCATGAGTTGGCACCTGGCCTGCCAGCATCACAGATAGGTTTAGGACTAGGTCGTTAGCTGATGCAAATCAGTGTAGCTCTTCTGACTCCAGCTTATTCAAACCAGCAGAAGGTCTGGCCCTAAGACTTTTTATTAAGGTAAAATGCTAGCAATGGTAATGAAAATATTCAGTTACCCTGATGGCCTAGCTATAAGCGACTATACAACCCCAAAGTGTCCTGCTCCCAAGGAAGTCCTAAGATGGATTCTTCAGGGGCTATTTCTGATTTTGGTGTTAGAACGACAGAGGGACCCTTTCCAATATCTTATATTGGCATCATCTGTCTCGTTTGCCCCTTTTGCCACAGCCTGTATGTCCAGTCATCAGCCAACAGCAGTAAAGTTGGTGACATAATGTGTGTTTTGTTTCCTTCTGTGCCAGAGCTGGGTAATAGCTGTGGATAAAGAGGAAGCTGCTGTGAATCTCACCAGAGAGAATGCTCAGAGGTAGGAACACATGCATTGCTCATTTTTTCTCTCTTTGAGTGCCCATTGCTTCCTAGAACCCCTCACACTGATCCCTGAGACAAGTGAATAGCTACCAAAGTCCTGGCTTATTCTCAAATATGCCCAGTGTCTCAGCCCCAGGCTGGATATCATGTTCATCACCATCAGGTGCTAGGGTGCGTTAAATGCTTTGAACCTCTGGAAAATCCAGAGAAAATTAGGAATTTTTGGAACAAATTTTCCCTGAATTTTTACTTTGGTAAAAAAAAAAAAAACCAAAAAACCTTTCTCTGACCTGTGAATCCCCTTTCCCACCAGCTGGGAAGGAAATGGAATAATAGCGATGTTTTGTACTTATGTCGCACCTTTCTTGCAAGGAGACCAAATTTGGGTCAGTAGACTTGTCCCTGTTTTGTGAATGGGAAAGCTGAGACCTAGTGAATGTCTCAGATTCACAGAGTCTGGTCCATGCCACAGGCTATTACCAGTGCCTTGAGAGTGACCCCTTTAGTGTGCTGGGCGCCAAGGACCCACACAATTCCACAGGGTAGGGCTTCAGCCTCAGAAACTCCAAAACTGGGTCTTCGGGCACCAGAGAACCCTGTCTTCTTCCATGGCTCCCTGCAGCAAGTCTAGCCAAGCAGGACTCCTGCAGGAGGCTTGTACTGTAATCATTCAGGGCTTTCTGTGAGGATTTGCAGTGACACCAGGCAGCCTTTTCTAAAACAGTGTAGGGTTTATTAGTTGACTGGAACACAGCATCGGCTAGTCCTGAGGTGAGTGTAGAGAATCTCAGGTTAAGACATGGTCCATACTGGCCAAACCAGTCAGCCAGCCAAGCTGTCATAGACTCCATTCCAGGCTCTCTGACAGTCCTCGGAGAGAGCTGCTGAGTCCCTCCAAGAACCCAAACTTATCCCCTTCCTGTCGACCCATGCTGAGTTCACATGTTCCTGGGATAGTGTCAATCGTTCAGTAGGTGCAGCTCCCTTTGTCTTTCTGGAACCTCTGTTGATACGGGTGACTTACAGCCAGTCCTCTAACGATCCATTCATTTCACCCGACAGTGAAGTGACGCAGCACCTCATGTCCCCCGCTCTGCCCCAAAAGCCACATTCTAACCCTTTTTGCAACCATTGGGTAGCAATGCAAAGTACATGGGGAAACTGAGGAACACAAAGGCATAATAAAAATATGACAGAAAATTGCCGCATGGTTCACATCATGTCACAAAGCGAGTCAGTGACAAAGCCAATAACAGAATCCAGAACGCCTGGCTCCCTCTGACTCACTACACCATATTGACTCCCTTTTCAGACAGGGCCTTGCTTCTGTTCTTACTTCTAGATTTTATCTTATTCTCCTCAGGCAGCACCTAGACTTCTGGGTGTGTCGGTGTGGTGTCCCACAGCATCCTTCTTCCTCTCTGGGCTGTCGCTAGCACTGACTTGTAACCAAATGAACTATAATCCACAGCAGCCACCTGTGCTGTGGCTTGGTTTTAAGGGCTTCAGAATCAGCTCTGCTCTGTCTGTCACAATGCGCTCTCCCATAACTGTCACTTGACAATGAAATTGCGGTCAGGACAGTGCTGGTGTCAGAATGACACTGTCTCATTTACCCCTCAGCTCCCTGTGCCAACTCTGCTCTCTGTTACACCACTGGAAATCCAGCGTGACTCCACGTGAGTTAATACAGGTTGTAACTGACACCAGAATCTGGCTTCCTTATGTGTCTCTGCATCCTGGGACCTATCCTATGTGGCACCTGCAGGAACTACAATGCAGGGGGAGAGGAGGACAGGTGGTTTGATCATTCCCTTGCATCCCCAGGATTCTGGGCTGCTCTAGGGGCTGAAATGGCCCTTGGCGTAGATTAGAGCAGCCTCAAAGGTGCTCTGATTTACAGCAGCTTCCTGAGAATTCCCAGAGGGCTGTTCCACAGTGTGGAGCAGTCCCGAATCTTCGTAGTGGTGTGCACTGTAGCGATTCCCTACCCTCTATGTGCCCGCCCTCTTTTCCCCCCCCCCCAGCCTATTCGCACAGAGACTTACAAAGCGGGGAGAGGGGGGGCGGGCGGTGCAACATAGGGCTGCTTAAGTGGCCCTATGCAATGGGGAATTCTGCCCCAGCTCCTTGCAATACAGTTTTGGCCCTTACATGCTGATAGAGTGAGTATAGGGGCTAGAGCACAGAACTGAGTCAGTCCCGCCATGTCCACCGCACACCCCCCCCCACGCTGTTTCTTCACTCACACAACCAGCATAGCCCAGTGCTGTTCTGGGGGGAGGGGAGGGGGCAAATGAGGTAGAGTAGAATCGACCTCTGTCCAAACGTCAGACACTCTTACAATGGGTTGATGTTGTAATAGGAAGAACAGCAGCTAGATTTTCATCTCCATGACTGAGTTTGTAGCTCTGACAGTCAGAGAACTCATCTCCTCGCTGGCTTACTGTGCTAATTCAATCAGGAGTAGTAAACATGGAGCCAAACAATCTCACATATGTGCAAACCTGCCACTGTTTTGAAAGAATCCATCCTGTTGTCTGATCAAAGCCACTGTTGTGCTCACCCTCCTTTTAAAGCCCCATGTCACAGCTAACTTGCCTAAAAGGGAGGGGGGCTTGGATGAGAATCGTTGTCAGCTAATCATGTCGCTCCCATTTCACCCAGAGGGGTGCGCTGCAGATAGACATGTTACACTCCCTTTGTTCCCCACTGCCAATGTGTGCTGGTGTTTCAGACCACAAGCTGGGGTCTAGGAATGGAACAGGACTCTTTCACACCATGTGGAGCATGAGGCCCCCTATGTGTCCCAAATTCACTAGTGCATTGGATAAAAAAGTTGGGGAGGAAAATCCTGGATGCTGTACTCCTTTGACTGGGTTTTAGTCTGCTATGTAAGTTATTCTGCATGGAGGGAGAGTGTGTATTGGGAGGAGCTGGATGGTTTTTGAAAAGCTGCCTCTAATTCAGTGTATAATAGAGTGTAGGGGAATGGGGAGTGTCTTTGGAATCATCACAGAATGCTCTCAGGAACATGCTGACCTGGATGTCACCACTTGCCTGGGTCTCATTCCTCCAGCAAACCCTGAGAAATCCTGTGGCTTTGCAAAGAAGTGATCGTCTGGTGTTCAGAAGAGAGAGGTGATTTTGTGATTAAGGCAGACAGCCAGGGGGCATCAGGACTGCTGGGTTCAATTCCTTAGGGCCACTATCTCAGGCCACGTCTACCCTATAGGAGCACTTTGCCAGGGATAGCCATACCACTATACTATACCCACAAAGCACTCCTAGTGTGGATGCAGCTTAACCTGGCAAAGCTGTGCTTTGGCTGGTGTAGCTTATTTTCCAGCACCGCCATCCAACCCCCCCCCCCCCCCCCAACAAAATAAGCTAGACTGGTAAAATCACAGTTCTACTGGTATAACTGTATCAACACTAGCTCTTTTGCTGGCCCAGCTCTGTCAGTCAGGGATCACATCTCCTCACCCCCCCTGACAGACAGAGCTATGCCGGCAGAAATCTGTAGGGTAGACCTGGTCTCACTCTGCAACCTGGAGCTTGTCACTTCATTGCACTATGCCTCAATGGCCCCTTCTGTGAAATGGGGTTACTGCCAAGATAGCAGGCTAATTTAATCATAGCTTTCCCACGCCTGGACCCCCCGTGCTCCACCTCAGCAGCACAAAGGGGATTTACAGCGGTTGTGAAGGCCACAGCTAAGGGTTCCCCTAGGTAAGAGGAATCCT